GCCTATTACTTGTGTTAGTCCCAGTGTTACCTAATCCACGTAAAATCCCACTTCTTTTGGGCCTCAGACTTGGAGCACAGTGGACTGCCGACAGCTTTTAGACGGTATTTTATTCTCGCACACCACTCGCAACGTTTAAAAGTCATTCTAGCTGTCTTAGGAAGCGACAGCCCGTCCTGCGCAGCAAGCTACCTGCCTGGGAGTGGACTCTAAGTGGCAATGATATTGAATCTGGCTCTTATGCCTGTTCACCGGAATTCCGCCGGAATTTTCAGCACCATCCAATGCTTTCTCTAACGGGTGAGCAATTCCATTAGGCAAAAGTTGATGTGTAGGTAAACAAAGCATCCGCCAAAATGTAACCGGTTATATCACTGTACTCGTCATTGCCGACCTATGAGGTCGATCTATTCCACCGAAAAGTTCTTATGCTCATTATTAATCTGAGAGGAATTTTCCTGTCTGATTCTAGAAAAGTTGTGTGATAAAAGTCTTTTCCTTTAATATTTAATAACGGCTATCCGTGCTCGCCGAAAAAGTACGGTGGATCGCAGCAGTGCTTCTTATTTACCGTGCTTTTTATTGAATATGACAGTTACCGAAGATCTTATGCGGTCGTTTTGCCTTAGTAGTTGTTAAATATGATGCCTTGCTAAAAGGTTCTTCCATTCCACCCTCGATACTTTTACTCCATTCAATTTGCTCCTGTTTTTGCATGAATCCGCTTCACGGATGTCAGGGGTAGCGGCAGCCCATTGGTGGCGGTCGGAAGTAAGGTCCTCACAAATATCAATCCAGTGCTTTTTCCAGTGTCACAAACTGTAGCCGGTTATGAGACCCATGTGTTCGACGTCTGACTTGACAGCGTTGAGCCACTTCTTCAATTGATCGCCATGTCGGTATCTACAGTTTGAACTAAGAGAGGGATTCACGACCATTCCATAGAGGACTGTCGGTGGCTTGTGCAGGACATGTCCAAACCATTGCAATCGGCCATGTTGGATATATGACGCTAGACTTAGTACTTGCAAAACAGCTAAACATTGGAAAGTCGATCCTGTCAGAATACTCTTAAGATGCGTCGAAGACACCAACGGTCGAAGATTTCGACTGATAGAATGTCTGTCCTTCTGATTGGCCGTGTTTCGCAAGCATATACTAACAGCGGTCTGATGAATGCTCTGTATACCAACACCGTAAGCTGATGTCTCAGCGAGACTAGAGTGTTCTGGCTAGCAGCCTAAATGCATTCCAAGCCTGCGCGATTCGGTTCCTGATTTCTTATTTGGCCTTTGCGTTGGCTAGTATACTCGAGCTCTGTGACCTTCATCCAAACCTTATTTTTTCTTCATTCGGCATCAGTATCAGTTTATTGA